GGGAGGGGGAGGGGGGAGGGGGGGGGAACGCATTTGATGCACTCGGTTGACGAGAGCACTTGGAAAAAAAAACACATTATATATTCAAGCATCCAGTTGAAACGACTCCCCCCCACCCCACCACCACCGTTCAATTTCCAATTTAACCAGGGCTATAGCTAATTAATAAAAAGGCCAGTAAAACACACCCTAACTTCTAACCGATTGAGTTCAACCGATGCTGATCGAAGAGTAGTCAATAGGATCTTGATTATCTGCTCGGGACTGGAGATCAGGAGACTGGAGAGCAGATCAGGACTGTTGCGCTTCACTGGATAGATCAATCGAGGATAGGGCGCATCAAGGCTGGCGAATCGTGCTTTCTTCTGATAATATGCAATCAAGTCAGAGATTAGAGGAAAACCCGGTGAAGGTGGATCTGATATGTCGAAGGAATCTCCTCGATGAAAAATTCGAAAGAGAATGGTGCTGAAATTGCGCCTATAAAAAGGGATAAAAAGAAAACAGAGAATATGAAACCAATTTGGGTTGTTACTTAATATTCTAAAAAAAATTTCACCTCGAAGAAGCACATGTACTTGTAGACTCGGGCTGGTGCTTACAGTTGAGTCGTTTTACGCCTAACAAGTAGTTTAGTCATTTTTATTAAAAACCCTATTAAACGCGACTAAGACGCCCAAATACAGCACATGGGACATCGAATATAAATTACTCACTTGCTAGCCTACTTACCTCGAAGGGGGAACGAATCCTGAAAAATCGCGTCAATAGCCCCACTACCCACCTTTCCCACAGCTGAGAGAAGGCGGCGTAGAGCACACAGTTTATCTTCCTTCTCTAGAGCTTGCCCACCTCTCCTCACCCTCAAATTAAGAAGATCACGATAAAGGCGCGGGTTTGGCTGAGGGCCAGTCAATCAGACTGACTTTTATTGCCGATCACAAAGCTGATATCGTATTGGCAAAGTGGTCAAAGTGCTCGAAATAGCCTTATACACACAAATTCGGTGTTTGCAAACAACTTTCCGACTGCATCGATCAATCATACTCAGCCTTGTGAGATGTCCGAGGCCTTACCCCGAGTCCCCCCCCCCTTCGCACAACTAACAGTAATGAATAAAACAGAAAAAATTAAAAACTTGTGGAACAATGTGAGGGTAGACTACTTTGTATAAGTCTATTAGAGAGCTAATTAACAGACTTTTCCATGAAATCTCTAAGTACAAACAAAAGCGTGATCATACCACCGTCTTCTCATTCTGAAGATAACTATTAACATGAAAGACTGATAACAAAACCTACAATCCTAAGTCAGTAACTCCGAAGCTCTAGTCTGTTAAAATTAGTGTGAAATTCAATGGTATCCAGAAGATGCCTGCTGAAAGCGATCCACCAATTTTCATACAGTTAGACACGCCTAATAGTAGAAAGTAATAAAATTGAAGCACAAAAGATGTTGAATACTTACTTTTCGGTTAGCGTGAAAGCGTTCACATTTCCAGATTGAGTTGAATCGCGCACGAGAAAGGCACCGTCCGATTGTCCCCTCATGATCTCACTGACCTCCGCTCTTGACACGTCACCCCAGTACCAATCCTGAGCAGCTAAGTCCCGTCGATTTCTCTCCATGGACCTCTCAGTTGGGGGACCCCACGGGAATTCGGGGCCACTCACTGGAACCATGGCTAGATTGTCCTTTGTTCCCACCGTCGTTGGGGGTCGAATCTGCCCACCTCCTGCTTTGGCCAGGAGTTCTGCATAGCATTCGTAACCTGCAAGGAAAAACTGAGAGTAAACTACTTATTATGGTTATAAGTAGAAGGAAATTAATTTATATCAAATGGCAGGCGTTTTGATAGTTATCACTAGCCCTTTAGTTGACTTCAGGCTTCACAGAGGGGAACATCAAAGTGAAAAAAGTCGAGTTGGTTGGGAGAACAGAGAAGTGTTTCAAAGATGTAGAAGATACAGACACAAAGGTAGAAAAAAGGTGATGTGAGTACGGCGGAAGTGATCGAATATGACATACAGTGAGGTGATGGTAGTTTAATGTCAGTAGTCATCTGCCAGTTAATAGACTATTTTGCCGTATGAGTATACGTTGCCCAGGGTACACCAAGTGGAGGTATGTCTATAGCACATACCAATAGAAGGAAATTAAGAGCTCTTTGATTATTCGATCTTTGAAACTATATCTTCTCTAAATCCCTTGACGCGTCTCAGCTCAACTTGCACGCGCTCCTTTAAACTCGAACTTCCATTCATTCCATCTTTCTACTCAGACAATGCTCCTTAAAAAAGTGCTTATAAAAACCACACTTCCTGAGTACATTTTAAGGGCATTGTAAATATTTTGGTGGAAAAATAGGAGAGCAGGCACTTGACTGTGCAAAGACGTTATCAAAGTACTGCACGTTGAGGACCTCCCGGAAGTGTTCAAGTGTAAAACACCCCGAGACCACTACTCTCAAAAACCCAAGCACAAACTATTTCTTTAATAAGAGAGAGAATACCAAGTAGAAGACAATAATAGAGGGTTATACATGTCTCCATGCCGGAGATAAAAAGAGACAATACACAACTTAGAATGCAATTGCAGTGAATATTCGAAATACCGTCTTCGTTCAGAAATCTGGAGAGCAAACGATTATGAGTGAAAGGAATTTGCCATTGTTCAATTCTTTATCTTCAACAAAAATTTTGCTAATGATAATTTAAACCTATTTTCTTTCGAGAATTCAGGAATTCGAGTTTTGGGTGAGCTTTATTACTGTCAATGTTTCATCAATGTTGTCACCTCTAAATCATTTTTATTCAGCCTTTTTGATTGGTTGATTGAATCAATAATTGTGATTCGTTCATCTGTTGTGTCAATGCTATTTTCTGGTGATTTGCTCTACAGCATCTTCTATCCTTTTCCGGAAATCGCACCCTTTGTACTCGAAAGTCTGTCGTAAGACCAATTCACGGGGATTCTTGACCTTTGGAGGTCTCTGTTCAATTTCTTTTACACTTTTAACATCAACATTCTTGCCATATTTTATGAACGCAAACAACTGCTATTTCCCAATGCTTCAGCACACACACACACACACACACACACACACATTGTCCTATTGACCTGAAAATCGACTCAATCAAATAATACGCAAATTGATTGATAGGTGATTAGGGTCGTAATTAAAAATGGTGCGCACTGTGAAGCGCGGAACTGCCCAATTGTACGCGAGTATACGCTTAAAACAAGGCAATGGTTATGCACAGCTACTCAGAGACACCGATCACAAAAAAATTGAGGACTTTCAGTGTCTACTTCTCCTGGTTGCTTATGCAAACACGATGGGTTTAATTGAATCGCAGTATGTCATAGCAAATTAGCATTTCTCGCGTTAATAGCAGATTCAGGACAATTTTTTAATCAAAATATTTGAGAGCAGAGAGAGGAGAAGCAAGAGGAAACCGAGAGGCAGATGGACCAAAACTCACCACATTTTTCTCTCTCAACTTCTGTCCACACAGCAACGGCAGCAGCAGTAGCTATGCTTTCATTTGCTTGTCATAGCATGTCATAGGGAAATTTTTCAATTTATATATATTCATTTATTTATTCATTTATATCAATTGGCAGGCATTTTGATAGTTATCATTAGCCCTGGAGCTGACTTCGGGGCTTCACAGAGAGGAGAAGGAACATTAAAGTGACAAAAAGTAGAGAGGGGAAACAGAAGAGTGATTCATAGATGTAAAAGAGACAGACAGACACAAAGGCATACAAAAGGTAAGATGAGTACTGTGAAAGGGGTCGAATATGGCAAATAGTCGGGCCATAGTAGTTTGAAGTCAGAAGTCAACTGCCGATCAATAGACTTCTTTGCCGTATAAGTATACGTTGCCCAGGGTGCACCACGTGGAG